CTTAACACTTTGTTCATTTTCAGAATGTTCTCTGGTCATGTTCCTTAGGGCTAAAAGCTGCTCTTGTTTGGAGCAAGAAAGAACCTTTAGTAATCAGAGCTCTGGGTGATTTTGGATGCAGATCAGTAGCTCTTACTTTGTAAGTAGAAATTCAGATTGATAAAACATGGGTGATTAGGTTTCTGAATATCAACACAAGAAATAGGTTTCTGAATATCAACACAAGTCCTAGCTTTTCTTTTAGGCTCTTGGAACCTATATACTTCTGACATAGTATTTGTTATTCTAAGAAAGCACTGCCTTTTACTTTAGTATTGGGTCATATGTCAGCTGCTAGTGAACACAGTTGGAAGTGAAAAATGATTGCATAAATCTTAGCAGCTAATAAGTGGTGTTGAATGTAAAAGGTGCCCTTGTTTCATCTGTAGTGGTTCACGACTTGTGGCTATACTGATAAATCTAGAAGAAAAAAGGTTTCTACTTAAAACCTTTCTTCTGTCTTCCCATTTTTATTGCTTTCGAATTCCTCAACTTTTTTTTTTTTAAGAGAGAGTGAGAGACAGAGAGAGAGAGAGAGTGAGAGAGAATTTTTTAATATTTACTTTTTAGTTTTCGGCAGGCACATCTTTGTTTGTATGTGGTGCTGAGGATCGAACCCGGGCCGCACGCATGCCAGGCAAGCGCGCTACTGCTTGAGCTACATCCCCAGCCCCTAATTCCTCAGCTTTTTCTGTGTAAATAAACTTTAGAAAATTTTTTAAGAAACTCTCTCAGTAATCATGATACCCCCTTCATTTACTTTTTCTCAACTAAATGATTAGCATGTCCTTTTTGTTTTGTTTTCATTTTGATCTTTTTTTAGCCTGCTTAAAATGAACTTTTTAGTATAAACTACACCCCAACCCTAGAAATAGCATAATTTAATTGAATTGTGATAAATAAATATTCCAAGTATTTGCAGATGAGACTTCACTCATTTTGTGATCTTAATTCCAGCTAGGTGGAGATCAGCAAAATCCTTAGTACTGTCAAAGACTTCATTATCTTTCCACTCCTTCCCACATTTCCATGAGTTGCAAGATTTTTTTAACCAAACCACTTATGCTTATGTGATATTTTCTTTTTTTTTTTTTTCATCTTTATTCAGCACAAGTGTGTATGTATAGCTGGGTCTGAAATCAAAATATGTGTTCCAGATAATGATATCAACATTGTTCAGATGGCTGATGTTAGTTAACCTATGTATAGAAAATTCCACCAGCATTCTTTGAAAATGAAAATAAATGGCCCCAATCCATGTTCTAGGCTCCCACCCCAACACCCATTTATAGTTTTCATGGGGCCCTTGCAGTCTAGCATTTTAACCTGAGGCTATCATCTATACCTTGGGAATTTGTAGTTTTATTAGTAAGCTTTATAAGGAAGAGAATAGTCTAAAATGTCCACTAAAGTGAATTTTATTAAGGCAAGTACCACCTCCCTCTCCTATTATGGGGGAATGTAACAGATAGGCTTTCCTGATGGTATTCTTAGTGGCCTGTAACCAAATGGCCAGTCCTGGGGACCCAGGCTCCTAAAGAAGCCTTTCCCTGTCTCTGCCTCCTATCTTTAGTTTTCTTCCCCATTTTGGCTTTGTGTCTTCTTAAATTTGCTTTTGTTGTCTGTTTCCCTCAGTAAAGTCTTATAAGGGCAAAGGTATCTCTTTCATCTCTGTGCCTGGGAATAAGGATGGGACAGACATAGCTACCTCTGAATCTTTTCTCTGTGTAGAATATTTAGCATGGATTCTATCTTAATACCCATCACAGCTCGATGAGGAAGTAGATTACTATTAGTATTCCTATATTAAAGATAGGGATACATTCTTAAATAATTTGATTAATATCATATTACTGTGTTTAGTGACCTGTTTTTATCTTTTCCTTTGTCCTTTGGGATGAAAAAAGTAAAATCATTCTAATACACCCCCCCCCCCCAAAAAAGAGAGAGAAAGCAAGAGAAATAAGTATAGAAAATAAATGTACTTATCCCTCCATATACACAGAGAATTGGTTCCAGGGGACCCTTCATACCAAGTCCAAAGATGCTCAGTTCCCTTATGTAAGATGATGTTTGATTTGCATATAAGGTGCACATCCTCTTTGTATGCTTTAAATCATCTTTAGATTACTAATCATTTCTAATACAATAAAATTGCTGTGTAAATAGTTCTTATACTGAATTATTTAAAGGATAGTGACAAAAAAGTCTATATATGTCTGGTAATATATACAGGGTTTTTTTTTCTGAATAATCATGCTCAGTGAGGAAGTCATATACCCATTCTAAGTCTTTGTCCTCTTTTGTTATACTCTTTTTCTACCTTAAGTGCGTCAAATTTTGTTATCTAGCAACGTATTAAAGAATTTGATATAGAATTTTATTTCTAAATTTCTCAACTTTTAAGCATTTCCATGTTCAAAAATTATTTGAACTTTAATGGGAAACAGTGGAAATTGTGTGTGTGTGTGTGTGTGTGCGCGTGCACTTTTTTGCTTTTCTTTATGCTCTTCTAATTATGTGTCGCTTTATAACCAGCAATGGGTGTTAATTTTCTTGAGCAAAGAGAATATTTCTAAATTGTTGGACTTTTTGTTGCTTATTAGGTTAAAATTTAACAGAAAAAGTTTTCTTTAATCAAATAAGGATTTTGTGTAATTGCTACTTGATAGTTATATTATTCATTATATTTTTAGAACATCAGTTTTGTATAATTACAACTTCAGATATCAACTCCAGTTTATCATAAAAAGTAGAGTAAGACTCATTTATCCACAGTTATAGTATGAGATGGTAGAGGAAATAATATAAATAAACTCATATAAGTTGTTGTTTTGTAGGATTTTTATGGAAAGATGGATTTATTACATATCAAATACATATGTATTAGTGGTTAGGTCTGATGATAGAAGTAGCATTAAAGGTTTTTGGCATTTGAACAATAGAAGAAAGAAGAGTTTTCATTTTAACTGCCCAGGTTTTTAATGTTTTTACATTTTTGTTATAAATCATTTAAAGTCCTTTCTTTGATGGAAGGGGGGGAGATAGCAAAGTTTATATATTATAAACAAAAACTTAATAAATTTCCGTTCTGTGAAATGGATCATCAGTGGAAAGATAAGAGTTACTTTATAGTCAATTTCTAGAACATAATTGTTTTGTAAAATGAGGGACAGCATGCAATAAAGGAAAATAATTATAATTGCCACTTGTTCACAGTGGTGGCTTGGGATTTGGGGCAGGTACCACAAAAAGAAGGTTCAAGTTGTACAAAAAGAATTTAAGTGAAACAGCAACAAAATTTCCTTTAAGTATCTCAATAAGGTTCTTTTAGAATTGGGTTTTCACTGGCTATTAAAAGAATAACTGTGACCAACTGTCATTATTCAGATTGTTTGATTTTGAAAGGGTATGTTCCTCTGAATTCCAAGGTTAAGACTGAGAAATGTCAGTCAGTGAGTGGGGTAGACTCCTGGGCCAGCTTGCTGCCCTGAGGCAGTAGGTCAGATAATTCATACATCCTAGAGCAGTGCCACACAGACATCCTAGGAACCCTACAAAGCGAAGAGTTTGGACTGAGAGATCCATAGGTCTCTTTCATCCTCATTTATATTAATGTTTTAATTTTAAAATATTTTTTTCATCTCTTTCACTAATATCCATTAGAGCATCATTACTAAAATTTAAATTGTATATTTAAAATATCAGATTGTGTATAATCTGATATTTTATCTGTATAACTTTTTGGTTCCTGCCTTTGTTACCTTCTTTGTTCAGTTTGAACCAAGGTAGAGATTTTATTAATAAATTTTAGTGCACTTAGTAGGGAGTCTACATTATTTTGAGTGTTTCACTTACTTGTAAACAGTATTTAAGTGTTAACAAATGTGATGACAAAGGTCATGTGGCCTGCCCCACGATTCTCTTTTAAACCTTTCTAGAAATCTTGGATTATTTTTTTGTTGTTGTTATGTGGATGTTTATATTATTGTGTCTATATTTTATTTTCTGGAATGAATGAATTTGTGAACTCCTTCCTAAATCCTTTCTATCAAAAAAACATACATTTTCATCTAAAAAAAAAATACACATTTTTTTTTCTATCTCTTTGATAGGTTTGTTTCTTTTTAATGGCCAGAGGTAGGAAGTGATTTGTTGTAGGTATCACCCTAATGCTTGTTTGGGGAGGGTCCTCCAACATCAGCTAGTCCAGCCTTATCATTGCAGTAGGAATCCTTATGCTGACTACTAGAAGTTTGCCCAGCCTTAGCTGAATATTTTCAATGATGGGAAACTTCATTTTCTAGTGTTTTAATAGTTTCATTGAGTGGCTGCATTGAGTGGCTCCCACTGTTGTTAAGCTGAAGTGTGCCTTTTGGTTGCTTAAACCTTGGGTCCTAGTTCTGCCATCTATAGTGACACAGTCTTTCCTTCTCAATAGCCATATTTTGCTTGTCTCTGAGCTTTAATCTCCATAAAGTGAAGATGAGTTGAATGACTTAATTACTTCACTAGGATTGAGGTAAAGAACAATTGAGATAATGTGACCTTAGGTAAAATCCTTTTCAGGTTTCAGATACTAATGTCTTAGTTTTAGCTCTGGCGTACATTGTAAAGGGAAAAGGCAGTGTGTTTGTCCTTTGATCTAAAAGCTAGATAGATATTTCCCAGTAGATATTCTTGTTAGTAACAAAAATTAATTCATCTCTTCATTGAACATTTATTGACCATTCACTATGTACTGGCACTTGATTAGGACCTTAAGAGAATTCAGTGAAGAAGATACATACCTTCCTGGCCCTATTTAGGCATAAGTTTTCTTTCCTAGTTATTTTTACTTTGAGATATAAATGCTTTTGACTGCTCAAAATGAAATAATATTGTTAGTCTACTTTTACTCTTCTTAGTGTTTTTGGTTTTCTAACTAGTCCAATATTTAAAAATATGTTTTTGATTTGTAGATATATGGAGTCTGGGAGTGATCCTTTTCATGTTGGTATGTGGGCAACCACCATTTCAAGAGGCCAATGACAGTGAAACATTGACAATGATCATGGATTGCAAATATACAGTACCATCCCATGTGTCTAAAGAATGTAAAGAGTAAGTAAAAAAAAGTATGCGGAAATATTAAGAACTAATGTTAAAACAAGGAATTTTATCTAATGCCATTAAAATGTCAAGAAATTATGAGATGGCTGCAGTATCTAGATTTATTTTAATTTTTGACCATATTTTTTTGTTGTTGTTGTTGAGACTTTTTAGGGGGAGGGTTAGCTCCAGAATTTGATTTGAAATCCAATATTAGATTACAAAATGTACTCATATATTTCTTAAATGTTTATTTTCAAGAAATCCATTATATTGGGGTTGGGGATGTGGCTCAAGTGGTAGCGCGCTCGCCTGGCATGTGTGCGGCCCGGGTTCGATCCTCAGCACCACATACCAACAAAGATGTTGTGTCCGCCGAGAACTAAAAAAAAAATAAATATTAAAAAAAAAAAAAGAAATCCATTATATGTCTCTTTAGTCTACAGAAATGGCAGTTACTTCACTTCACTCAAAGTGAAGACTTGCCATGAAAGCAACGTTTTTCTGCAGTCACAAAAAGCAAGACCAATTGGAATTGTTGTAGTTGTTTTAAGTTCCAGAGAATAGTTAGGGCATCTTATTTTCAGAAGAGATCAATCAGCACACTATTTCAGGATCTACATAGTATGTCTCATAATTTTATTCACATATTCCTCTCACCATTTACTCAGCTCACTGAATATGTTCTTATATTTTCTGACATCAATTATTCTTGTTGAAAAGTCAGTTATCTTACTGTTGTCTCTGTGTATGTGTTTTGTCTTTCCTTTCAGACTGTTTTCAGATCTTCTACTTATTGTGCTTAGGATATGTTGGACTTCCTGGTTCATGACTTGTGTCCTTCTGTAAATTTGGAAAATTCTTAGCTAGTATCTTCTCAAATGCAGTTTCTTTTCCATTTTCTCATTTCCTTCTAGAACTCTGATTAGATATATGTTAGATATTTTCACTCTGTCCTCCTTATCTGTTCCTCTCTTATACTCCTATCATTTTCTTAGACCTTATCTTTCAGTTCATTAATTCTCTTTAGAAGTAGTTTGAAAAATTTGATATGATTTTTTTAAGGTTACAATGATTATTTTTATTTTCACCTTTAGAAGCCTTATTTAGGTTTTTTGTTTGTTTGTTTTCCCAAGACTGCATAGTATAATTTTGTATGGTCTTTTTTTGCCTGGTCGTATTTTCAAACTTCTCTTAAACATATTTAACTCAGTTATGTTCTGAGTCTGATATTTCTGTATTTGAAGCATTTCCATTCTGATTTTGCTCTGTGTTTCTTGGGTCTTGTTACTGGTGTCTTGCGTCCTTTGTGTTTTCTGACTGTGTTGCTCTTTGTAATATTTGGGGAATTCTGAGGCTTGGTTTTAATTTCTATTCCAATAGTAAGGATTTGTGTATTTACTTCTCTAGCTGATATCATTAGTTTGATTCACGGATTTGTGTGAAGACCAGTTAAGCTTATAGTTACAAGTTCTTAGAAGGAATTCTCACTCACCCTTCTTCCATAGTCAGTATTGAGGCAGGCAAGTTTTCTTCTTAACCTCTTCTGAACAGTGGATTTCCTTCTCATTCACTCTTTTTTTTTTAAGAGAGAGAGAATTTTTTAATATTTATTTCCTTTAGTTTTTGGCGGACACAACATCTGTGTTTGTATGTGGTGCTGAGGATCGAACCTGGGCTGCTCGCATGCCAGGCGAGTGCGCTACTGCTTGAGCCACATCCCCAGCCCCTCATTCACTCTTATTCTGAGGTTTGGTCCTAGCTCTTTGCAAGGGCTCTTATACCATCATTACATGCACCCAGTGTAGCCTTCAGAACCAAGGCAGGAACAGGCAAAAACTAGCTTTGGCATTCATCTCCTAAAGGTCCTCCTTTCATTCTGTTTTTAGTTGCTAAGTATTTCTTGGTTTTGTTTGTTTGTTTTCTTACTATCAAAATGCTTTAAACAAGATATATTTCTTTCTTTTTTTGTGGGGGGGTGGGAGGCTGCGTAGCTACCAGGGATTCAACTTAGGGTCTCACCAAATTGCTTAGTGCCTCACTTTTGCTGAGGCTGGCTTTGAACTCGTGATCCTCCTGCCTCAGCTATCCCAATACAACCCCAATACATCCTGAGCTGCTGGGATTACAAGTGTGCACCACCGCACCCAGCTAACAAAATATATTTCTAAAAATACATTCCATGGTATTTAGTTGTTTTCATCAGGAGGGTCATTCATTCTTCCTGAGAAAGAAGTTGGTTAGTGTACTCTGTTTTGTTTGTCATTGATGATCATTATGTCTGGTTCTGATATTTCATTAAGCCTGTTAATTCAGGAGCAGATTTTGGTATCTAGCATTAGATGGTAGAGAAACTATATTTGTGTGTTTGGCTTACTTATCATTATATCTGGAGGTCATGATTTTTTATTTTACAAATATAATGACACTAAATTCTCACTATTCCCATCTTTGCCCCTTCTACCACTAGGGACCTAATTAAATTTATGGTGTGGATATAGGAAATAATTATTATTAATAAAATAATTTGCCACCTTAATCTTGTAAGCAGTGTGCTTTAACAATGGATGTACCTTCCTTTCCAGCTTAATCACACGGATGCTACAAAGAGATCCCAAGAGGAGGGCCTCTCTAGAAGAAATCGAAAACCATCCATGGCTTCAGGGAGTGGACCCTTCACCAGCCACAAAGTATAACATACCCCTTGTGTCATACAAAAATCTCTCTGAAGAGGAGCACAACAGTATCATTCAGCGCATGGTGCTTGGGGACATAGCAGATCGAGATGCCATTGTTGAGTATGTCAATGCTTATCAATACAGGGGACCACAGCTTTAGGATTCCCAGAATGGGCTTTCTTCCTTATTCTTCAGAGCCTTCAGATACTGTGTATTGGATAGAGTTCTAGTTAATAGGAATTGTCATTTACCTCTAGCATTCCTGGTCCAGTGCTTCACACAGATGGTCAAGTAAACAAAACTGGGTGGTGGTGGTGAGTGCTGTGGCCTTTCTGACTTTCTGTGGGGTATATTGGGATAGCTTGTTTTGTGTCTCAGTATGAACCCTGTCTGTAGATATACATCCTCTTCATTCTTGTGTCTCCTGCTGGTCCCCATAGTGAGTAGGGAGACCAGGAAGCACCATGAGCTTAGACTGACTAAATCGGGGGTTGGTAAATGCATATTATTAAAAGTAAGTTTTATTCAACCACAGCTATAGCCATTAGTTTTGTACTATAATGATTGGCTGTCTATCTTCTTCAGAGTCCTTGCTGCAGCAACCTGGAACCTGCAAGTTATGCAAGTTGTTAATTAAAGCCAAAGCCTTTTTTTTTTTTTTTTTTTTTTTTTGCAGGGGATGGGTTTGGTATTGGGATAGAACCCAGGGCATTGTTCATGCTAGGCAAGTGCTCCCCCAGGTTCATCTTCAAAGTTAGTTTTCAATAACCTGAGCAGTTTGAAATCAAGGAAAATGCAGATTAAAGATGCACTTGCTTTGTTCTAATGATGAGTAATTTTTATAAAAAGTACAGACTAAATACATGCAGCATTTCTATAAATGAAAAGTCAAAAATTATTTAATGTATTGAAAGATAGTGAGTATGAGGAAAAGAGGATATAACCTGGGAGATAAAAAAGATGTTCTCTTCAGGGTTTCTTGTGGCCTTATCATGAGATCTAACCCATCACCTTGATCTAGTGGAGAAAAGGCCCCAGGCTGACCCACAGCCCCTGCCATGTGTTGGCCATTTGGGGGTGCACCAGCAGTAGACTAGTCTCTAAGAAGGGTGGGGTATGTATAAGAGACATATCTTAAGGGTGAGTTTTTTCCTCTTTCTTTCAATACTGGGGATTGAAACCAAGGGGCACTCTTCCACTGAACTGCATCCCTGACCCTTTTTATTTTTTTAACTTTGAGACAGGGTCTTGCTAAGTTGCCTAGGCTGGCCTCGAATTTACAGTCCTCCTTCAGCCCCTAGAGTAGCTGGGATTACAGATATGTACCACCATGAGGGTATTTTTAGTATACTGGAAAAGGGATATACAAAAATAAACTCAGGTTCTCAGTTTAAATACAAATATCTACAGATTGCCAAAGTATATCATGAGTCTTCATAGATCAACCCATAGCTACTCAGATGACTTAAGCAGAGAAGAGAACATTTTGCCATTTCTGCTGTGGACAATCACTTTAGGAATGTGTAGAAAATGATTTTTTATTTTGAATGGGTAAAAGCTGTTTGTTTCTTCCTGAATTGGCCCAGTGTTCTTAACTTAAATACAAATAAGCATACATAATTGTGTCATATAGAACTACTTAATTAATCATGTAAATTTAGTTTAAATTCAAAGGGGATGTAAGTTTAAATGGTTCAGGTAGCTGCAGTTTGCCCATTCACTAGCTTCCCAAGCATAGCAGGAGCTGGGAAACCCAAGGTCACTCACTACTTTCTGAGTGAGTCTTACTTCTTACCAGCTGCTCATGTTATGGAGAAGCTACTCATTCTGAGGGCAAGCCCTGAGAATTACAGTATGTCCCCGGAACACTGCTAACTGCCGCCTTTGGCACGCAGCTGAAAAAACAACTCTGAGAAGTCATTCTGCCCCCTGAATTTCACCTTGGCCTCTTCCTTTCTGGCCCTGCCCTGCCCTGCTGTGCCCCGTCCCACCCTCCTTTGGATGTTTCTCCTTCTCCCCTGCATATTTTATAAAAAGTGATCTTGGAATCATTTCTTTCTTAAAGTGTTCATTATCTTTTTTCGCTAAATGCAAAGTCTCTGAAAATCATAGTTACATCTTTTTGGAACTTGTAGGGGTTTTCTGAAACACACTCATGGTATGTCCCATGACAGGCCAGCCACAGGAAAGCAGACAGACCATGTGCCTTGTTTGACATTGTGCCCCAGTACCTAGCCAGCACAGTGCCTGCACAGATGAGGTACTCTGCAAGCATTACCATTTAAACAGATGAGTAAATAAAATATATTGATTTTATTTAAAGAAGAGGTCAGTGACATACTTTCAATTAATTGATGGTAGCAGTTCTGTAATACCTAAAATGCTAATAAGCATAGAGTATGAAAATAACATTTCCTAATTTTTTTGATACTAGCATTTCAGTGCACATTCATGTAACAGACTTTGTCTTCATTTTGGTTTTTTTGGTACCAGGGATTGAACTCAGTGGCACTTGACCACTGAGCCACATCCCCAGCCCTATTTTGTATTTCATTTAGAGACAGGGTCTCACTGAGTTGCTTACGACCTCACTAAGTTGCTGAAGTTGGCTTTGAACTTGCCATCCTCCTGCCTCAGCCTTCTGAGCTAGCTACTGGGATTACAGGGGTGTACCACCACACCCGGCTTCATTTTGTTCTTTTAATGGAAGCAAATAGGCAGTTTAACAAATACACTACATACAAGTTAAACTTTCAAATAATGTTTATGTTCTTAGAAGCACCATTACTTTTTCTTATGGATCTGAAACTGACATCCAACCCAGCTGCTATCTGCAGTTTTTTTGTTTTTTCTCCCACTGAAAATGAATATTTTTATGCAGTTGTTTTTTAGACTTTCAAGAGTGACCTAATGTTTGTTTTTCTGGTTTACATTTTGCATACTTTTAAAGCTTCCCAAATGAATTTCATTTGCTTGTACTTTTGTGTTTTTTTCTAATTCTTATTTTAAAAAAAAGCCTATCTCTAGCTTATGTTTGTTCTCATCTCGTTTTTCTCAGAGCACTGGAAACCAACAGGTATAACCACATCACGGCCACTTACTTCTTGCTTGCTGAAAGGATCCTGAGAGAAAAGCAAGAAAAAGAAATACAAACTAGATCTGCCAGCCCTAGCAATATCAAGGCCCAGTTTAGGTGAGAAAAATGTCTTCACTGATTTTAGTAAGTTACGTTTTGAAATAGTGAACTATTTTGTGTGAATGCTTCCTAACTCTAGGGTGAGAGGGTCTTAACAGTGATGGCAGCCTCATTGGAGAGGGCAGACCTGGGCTTCTGGGGGCAGCTGAGGTCTTGGTTCTCTCATCAGCAGCTGCTTCCCTTCTTGGGCTCAGTGGGGGATTGTGGGGGTAGGTAGCTGTTGGAGAAACAGCTTCTAGCCAGTATGTCTGCTAGTTGTTTTCATTAAATTCTTCCAAATCTGACATGTGTTGCTTTCTTAAGTTTTTATCCCAGAAACAATGTTGAATTTTCCCTCGTCTTTTTTTTTTTTTAAGAGAGAGAGAATTTTTTAATATTTATTTTTTAGTTTTCGGTGAACACAACATCTTTATTTTTATGTGGTGCTGAGGATCAAACCCAGCACCCCGCGTGTGCCAGGCAAGCGCATTACCGCTTGGGCCACATCCCCAGCCCTTCCCTCTTTTTTTTGAAATAATTTTTAAAGATACATAGGGTATTTTTGTGCCATCTATGCTATCTCAGGATTTTAGGTATTGGGCAGTCAGATCAGCTAGTCAGTTCATCAGCTGCTTGACTTTTCTGTGATGTAGTTGCCTAATTTGTGAAATGGGTATAGTACTATTTACTTATTGGGATTGTAGTGAGGGGTAAACAAATGACTATACATTAAGGTCTAAGACCAGGCTATTTGTTTGCTCCCATTATTAGAACTGTCTGATCACCACCTTCATCTTTAATAGAATAGTTCTACCAGGCTTTGTAGTTTGCAGAGTGAAGCATAGACTGAGGGGGTTAATAATCATGATATCATCCGAGGTTGCTGTCATCAAGTCTGTGTAAACTTAGACAGGTGACTCTGTGGCTTGATTTCTTCATCTGTTAAAAGGTGGATAAATAATAGCATTGAGTTGTTGTGGGGTTCAGTGAATTAATCTTGCACGGTTCTTGTAGCACTGACTGGCTTCTAGTAAACACACAGTCATTTGAACTCCATTCAAGATTCATTTGTAATTTTTTTTTTAGCAGTTTTGCTTTGTCTTTGAGATGATTTTTCTCCCATTTCTGTGGCTATAAAGATTACTTACTTAGTTTTACAGTGTTGAGTGCAGATTTGTACTCAATATGTGAGTTGTTTAATGTTTTGATTATCTCACATTAACAGCCATTGGTTGAGGAACACCTTTCAAGGACACTGCCCCCTACAGCTGAGGCACTTATCCTTGTTTCTGGGTGTGGACTCTCAGGGTGGATTTTGGCTTTAAGTTGGAGAAAGGAAAGCCATCCACCTGTGTGTGGTCTGTATCTTATTCTCATTCTCACATTGATTGACCGCAGTTCATAAAGTACCTCATGTGCCACCACAGGGAGTTGCTCAGTGTGTGCTGGGGTATCTGAGCAGCTGCTCAGGTTTGAAATAGCTCCACTGTGCAGGGCCACACAGCCCACAGAGCTGGTTTGATTGTGTCGATGGAAGATGACTTTTCCAGAGATGCTCTTGATCTTAAAAATATTATTAAACACTTACCTGTTGCAAAATACCTGCAGTGGCTCTGAAAGATAGCTTACTTCCTCCTTGAAGGGTAGGATGAGGCTCTAAGTTGGGGTAAGGATGTCTGTTGTAAAATCCCTAGGCAGTTTTTTAAAGTTATAGATTTAATTGGGTTTTATTTTTAGGCTACAAAACTTGGTGTGAAATGAAAATGTCACAGTGTGAAAATGACTGTTTTAAATGTCTCTGGCATCTACTATTCCTCTGGGCAGAGAGGACAGTTGAGAATTGAAACATGTTTTTTCAAAACAGAGGCTAGAGAGCCTCATTTTCGTAAGTTCTCTTTGGCCACCAGGCAGTGTTCTCATCATTTAGGTGACTTCAAATCAAAGAATAAAATCAAAGTTTAAATAATAAGTCAGTTTTTCTATCTAGTACACTTGTGTGGACATCCCAAAATGTGCTTATTTACACTTAGTGTTTTTTATTGGAGAGGAGATGCACATATGCTAATTATACTTCACCTTTAAACTATTTCCATTTATTTGTATTAATGCTCAGCTTTTGCCCCATCATGTAAAATCAGTACTTGGAATTTGAGGTGAATCTTTTCTAGCAATAATATAACTTTAAAGGAACAAAATACATGTGCTGTTCAAGTTTTGAAAAGCTTGTGCTTTCTCAAGAGATTTATCTTGTAGCATAAAACTTTTATGTAGATACAGTTGGTCTTTGCCCCGTTTTCTTTCCTGATGCCTATGATGAAGTTGCCCTTTGTCCATGTTTCAAATGATGTTTTCCCTTCTGGCGTCCTTGCTGATGTTTGCAGATGTGAAATGGGTTTTCAAGTCTCCTGCTGCTTTTCCCTTTCAAGTCTGTAGATTTTGTCCCAGTGTTTTCATAGTGTCCCTTACTAATGTGTGCATGTGACTCCATGGCTCTTTTCTTTTCCCATCTGTTACACAGGCAGTCATGGCCAACCAAAATCGATGTACCCCAGGACCTTGAGGATGACCTCACGGCTACACCTTTGTCCCATGCGACTGTTCCCCAGTCTCCTGCGCGGGCTGCTGACAATGTCCTTAATGGCCACAGGAGCAAAGGCCTGTGTGATTCAGCGAAGAAAGACGACCTGCAGGAGTTGGCTGGACCAGCACTCTCCACGGTGTCGCCCACAACCTTAAAACCCACCGCCAGTGGGCGGAAGTGTCTGTTTAGGGTGGAGGAAGATGAGGAGGAGGATGAAGAGGATAAGAAACCCATGTCCCTCTCAACACAAGTGGTTCTGCGCCGTAAGCCCTCAGTGACCAACCGTCTGACATCTAGGAAGAGTGCTCCTGTCCTCAACCAGATCTTTGAAGAAGGGGAATCCGATGATGAATTCGACATGGATGAGAATCTGCCTCCCAAGTTGAGCAGGTTAAAGATGAACATTGCTTCCCCCGGGACTGTCCACAAACGCTACCACCGGAGGAAAAGTCAGGGCCGGGGCTCCAGCTGCAGTAGTTCAGAAACCAGTGACGATGATTCTGAAAGCCGGAGGCGCCTGGATAAAGATAGCGGGTTCACCTACTCTTGGCACCGCCGGGATAGCAGTGAGGGCCCCCCTGGCAGCGAGGGGGATGGTGGGGGCCAGAGCAAGCCAAGCAATGGCAGTGGAGGGGCGGACAAGGCCAGCCCCAGTGAGAACAATGCTGGTGGGGGCAGCCCCTCCAGTGGCTCTGGTGGCAACCCCACCAACACTTCAGGCAGCACGCGCCGCTGTGCTGGCCCCAGCAACTCCATGCAGCTGGCCTCGCGAAGTGCGGGGGAGCTCGTGGAGAGCCTCAAACTCATGAGCCTCTGCCTCGGCTCCCAGCTTCACGGCAGCACCAAGTACATTATTGATCCCCAGAAGGGCTTGTCGTTTTCCAGTGTGAAGGTCCAGGAAAAGTCCACCTGGAAAATGTGCATCAGCTCCACAGGGAATGCAGGGCAGGCCCCCGCAGTGGGCAGTATAAAGTTTTTCTCTGACCACATGGCAGATACCACCACTGAATTAGAACGAATAAAGAACAGGAATCTGAAAAATAACGTGCTCCAGCTACCTCTGTGTGAAAAGACCATCTCTGTGAACATTCAGCGGAACCCTAAGGAGGGGCTGCTGTGTGCCTCCAGCCAGGCCAGCTGCTGCCACGTCATCTGACTGCGGCCCACTGACCACTGGCACACCTCCTGCTCAGAGCCGCAAAGACCGGCTCACTTCACTGTTTCCTTTCTGTTTTACTCTTTGAAAGTGGGTGTTCTGAGCAATTATTTATCACCTTTTCGTTTGTTCTCCTGATGCTGTGACAATGCATGGTCTTTGTGCATGCTGCTAGACTCTCTTCTTTCCCAGCCGAAAAGTCTACTGTGTAATTTTTACATTCATAATTTTAATGTGGATGATCAGGATTCAATTAAAATGTATCTTTGGAACCTAACGTAAATGGAGCACTTAGAAATTTGATGTTCTGCACTTAACCTAGAGAGAGAAAATGCTTTTGTTTCCTTGTTAAAAAAAAAAAAAAAATCTAAATTCCTGTCCTGACCTTCTGTGATACGGAAACTCCGTGCTCTGAGGCACACTGTGGTGTCTGAGACAGAACCAAAGCAATAACGTGGTGAAGCCGACAGGCCTGGGTGCGAGCCCATGCTGCCCAGCCGCCCAGGGCCTGTGCAGAGCAGAGGACAGCAAGCATCTGCACTGAGAACCTTAGAACTATGATTTAAACATACCCACACCTGTTTGTCTTAAGCTATAGTGCGAAAAAAAAGTTTGGGCTCTTAAAATTTAACTGAAGAAGATTTTCTTGTTTTTGTAATAGGTGAGATAAAGTACTTAGATTTGTAAGGCAGCTTCCCCTGTAGTGATGAATTACAAGCAGACAATCTTTTGTAATGTGACAAAGTGAATTAATGTCTTAACTCTACTTATAGAGTATATGTCTGTCTAACAGAACAGAAAGATGCTCTGTGTAAATTCCTTCCTGTAGGGCACGCTGCAGGTAATCCTTCAAAATCATATCGATAGAAGAAACTGGAGGGCCTAGTACAGAAGCAGAGGTGCACACACATGTTGGCAAGTCAAAACTCGTAAATTAAAACAAGTAAGTTTTGTTTTTTAGGAATTTGTTAACTAGGTTGTCTCTTTTGTTAATTCCATTCCATTCCATCCTTTGGCTCAGCTAGCCATGAAAATTGGCTGATTAAAAATATACATGAAAGGGTAAAATTCACACAGCAAACAAAAATGCACAAAGCCTGATTTGTAACTCCCCCCGTAAGTGTTTCCCTTTGCCTTCCTGCCATTTCCTGCCAAACAATAATCAAAGAACTCTTGCTTTAAACTATTCCTGTATAAAGACTACTTTGACCAGATAATCATCTCTCCTGGCATTCATTCTTGTAGGATGCAATATATTACAGATTGTGAATTTTAGAAGGAGCCAGATCTATTTTTTCATGCTATGTCCTGGGGGGGTCTTAGAAACAGTGCTTATCAACATTGGTGATAGGATGTGACTGGGCTGTGGGCCCTTCCCCTCCTGTCATGGCTCCAGGTGAGGAACTGAGATGCATCTGGTCACGTACTTGAGAGAGTGGGCAGAGCACCAAAGAGCTGCATTACGTTGGTCATGGTTTCTTCAAGTACTACTCAACTGACTCTGCTACTTTAGGAATAATATATTTTACTCAGAACTCTGAACTTCACAGTATATCTAACTATACTAAGTAAAATGATACTTAAAATGCTTAATTTACTTTCTAGACCTAGGCTAGCTAGATACGTTTTAAGCTACAGCTCTAGTTCATTGTGATATTTATCATTGAAAGCTATGAAAATAGATGTGTGGGTGAAGCCATAGAACATATTTGCTTGAAACTTTTGAGCAGGGATCATATAAAGGGCCAGAAATAAGATGTGTGGTTCACATAGATCGTGAGCGTAACATCTGTATTAAACGTAGGAGAGAAGTTTATAAAGGGCATTGGCAATAAACTCTTTGTTGCAGCTGTTTTCCAAGTAATGTAAATACTTTTTCCTGTGATTATGTATAGCCTTGGAATGGCACCTTTTAACTAACCCACATGTGTTTGGTTTTCAATGGTTTTTTATATTCAGATGTATATATGGTGCTCACTTTAGGATCAGCAGTGTTGACCATTTATGCTGCATAGCTGTATTATAGCCTTATTAGTTATGTGTGGTTGGGTGACCCTCTGGGTATACAGTTGTCTGTCTGAGTGTTGTCTAACTCATTTGTTGATAAGTGAATGATTGTGCATGTGTTGTATGTCATAGTATGTCGTCACATAAAAGGGAGGGAGCGGAAAACCATTACATTAAGATAATATTGGACCAAACTACTTACTTGCTCTAAACAGTTACTTGTACCCCTTAACCTGTCTTCAAAAGTTGCATATAGTTACAGTAGTGTATATTAAATATTGTGGGAAAACAGTTAGTCTTGTATTTTTCTGTATGTGTGTATATACATATAATTATGTACTTCTGGCAATTCTATCTGTATTTAAAGATGTGACAATCTTGACACCGATTTTAAGACTAGCCGTGAGACTGAATTAAAGATGATATCCCTACCAAGTGAAAATTGATGTGTGTTAAGAGGGTACAGAATTATCAACTGATTTGGTCAGTTGCTTCCAATTCTGGTTGATTTTCCTTATTGTGTAAACATTGGCAGGTATGTGACAAATGGGAAAATAACCCAAATAATAAAGTGACATATTGGTGTTCAGCAATATAAACCGTGTCCCGTGTTGTGTTTTTTTCTCATGAATGCAGCTTTGTGTTTTCCCAGCCTAGCCCACTTACACCCAGCTTCCCAATATTTCCCTAAATCTGCATCACCAGATGTGCCTCAAAAAGTAGTCAAGATGACCATTCTTGCTTTAAACTCAGGACCACCAATACCAAGTGGGTGCTAGGGTTGCCTGTTAAACCTTGTTTCTCCATTTGATCTGCTTTCTTTACTTGGCTGACTGGTTACCATGCTCCCTGATAACTGGATAAACTGAAGCTATTAGCACTTCTGCAAGCACCCACTTTCCTCCTCCCATGTGTGTCGGCATGCTCTGCCCTTCCTCTGTTTGTGTGATTCCAGCATAGACCCTGTACCCCTGGCATCCACAACTGCTCCAGCCATTCTTTCCTGTCCCTTGTGTCATCAATCTTTGCTTCTCTACTAGACCATTCCTAATAGGAAACAACAAAGCAAACATGACTTTATCTCCCTCTTAAAATTTGCTCTCTCTGTAGCTATTGACACATTTCTCTATTTCTGTCCTCCAGTCAAGCCCATCTGAGCAGATAGACACTTGCGCTGTCACGCCACCAAAACTGCTTTGCCAAAGGTAAACAGTAACCTCCGAATGCTGAGTCTGTGGTCAGTTTTAAAAAACATCTTTATTAGCAATAAAAAGGGATAGCATATACAAGAGATGAATGTGCTATTGTAAACAGAGTCTTTAGAAGATGAATCACAGAGACTTGAATGAAGAACAGGAGGAAGTCACTGGGGATGTGACAGAAGTGAATTCTAGGCACAGAGACAACAAGTGCAAAGTATTCCTAATACTTGAAAGGGTTAAAGACTGAAGATCCTTCCTCTAGGCCAGGAGTCTACAAACTAAAGCTTTGTTGCTGACAAGTCTGTTAATAAAGTTTTATTGAAACACACCAGCTTTATTGAAGTAGAATTCACACATCACAGAATTTGCCAGTTTAAATTATACACTTGAGTGGGTTTGAGAACACTGACTGATTTTATGCAACCATTACCATAATCCTGCAGTCTTCTAGTTCACCTGCTCCTCAACTGCTGAGCTGGGATGATCCAAGCTTCATTTTTCCCTTCTCTGCACTCAGTCTTGAGCTTATTCAGGCTATCACCTATATGCTAACAGAACCCCCGAAATACACTTAGTCCAGATCTTTCTCAACACCAAAATTCAACTATCCATTTGCTCTACTTGGATGTGTCTAATAAGTATCTCGGTATTCACAGGCCCAAAGCCCTTGGTCATCACTCTGAGATTCTTCATCAACCAGTGTTCTTCAGCTCATTAAATGGCACCTCCAAACCTTTATTTGTTTTCGACCAGTGATAAGTCTTGGTGTCATTCTACACTCTTTTATCTCAACATCCAATCCATGAGCAAATCTTATTTGCCATTTAAAAGTTGAACCTTATTGCCTCCACTGACACCATTTGTCCTTGACCATCATCACACGTGGACAACTATGTCTCTTACAGAACTGCTCTGTTTTTGCCCTTCCCTTTCGGTTATCTGTTCTCCACTCAGCAGTACAAATGATTATTTAAAAAAATAAATCATGATAACATAAGTTTTGAAAGGTGTTTAATTTCCAAATAATCAGGGATTCTCTATGCAAGTTTCTGTTACTTCTAATTCTGCTTTGGTCAGATTTTTTTTTTTTTTTTTTTTAAGAATTTAAGTCTTTTGGGCTGGGGTTGTGGCTCAGAGGTAGAGTGCTCACCTACCATGCGTGAGGCACTGGGTTCGATCCTCAGCACCACATAAAGATATTGTGTCCACCTATAACTAAAAAATAAATGTTAAAAAAGAATTTAAGTCTTTTGAAATGTTATGAAACTTATTTTGTGGTGCACCATATGGCTATCTTGGTGAATGTTTTGTGAATTCTGGACAAGTGCTATTGTATCTTCCACTCATGCCGTTTAGTTCCAAGTTGGTAATGTTCAGGTTGTCTATATTTTGTCTGATTCGCTACCTCATCATTTCAGTTCTTGAGACAGGAGTGTTAAAACATTCAACTATTTCTCCTTTTTGTTCCATCAGTCTTATTTCATAAAATTTGAAACCCTGTTAATACACATTTAATGTGATGTCCTTTTGAAGAATTGGCCCCTTTCATCAATTGTATGGAGTCTTATGGTTCAGTGGTAGAGCACTTGCTTAGCATGTGTGAGGCCCTGGGTTCAATTCTCAGCACCACATATAAATAAATGAATGAAATAAAGGTCCATCAACTGCTAAAATAAATAAGTGTGTGTGTGTGTGTGTGTGTGTGTGTGTGTGTGTGTGTGGAGAGAGAGAGAGAGAGAGAGAGAGAGAGAGAGAGAGAGAGAGAGAGAGAGAGTCTCTCTTTCATCCCTGGCAAATTATTTGTTCTGTGAGCTACTTTACCTGATACTGATATAGCCACTTCAACTTCCTTTTGACTTGTTTTTTTTTCCACATATTTACCTTTACCTTCTATCTTTAAAATTGTTTTTTTTATTAAGATAGCATAGAGTTGGCATTTGGTTTTTTATCTACTTTACAAACCTTTGCCTTTTATTGAAGTGTTTAGACCAATTGTGTTTACTGTAATTATCAAATAGTTGAATTTAAACCTATGCATCTCTTTAGTTGTTTTCTATTTATTTCATCTGCTCTTTCTTTTCCTTAACTGAGTACTCTCCCCACCCACCCATTTAATCTCCACTATTGGCTGTACCATTTTTCTTTTCTTTTTTTAAAAGAAATTGCTGTAGTAGGATTGAATACGTGTATGTATGTGTGTGTGTATATATATAGATATAGATATAGATATATATTTGGGGCAGGTACCAAAGATTGATCTCAGGGGCACTCGGCCACTGAGCCACATTCCCCAGCCCTATTTTGTATTTTATTTAGAGACAGGGTGTCACTGAGTTGTTTAGTGCCTCGCTTTTTGCCAATGCTGGCTTTGAATTCACGATCGTCCTGCCTCAGCCTCCCAAGCCACTGGGATTACAGATGTGTTCCACCATGCCTGGAGACAATATCTATCTTAATGTATCACAGTATGTCTTAAAATAATCTTTGTGTAGAATGTAAAAACCCTACAACTGTAGATGCTTCCATTTCCTTCTGCTGTTCCTTGTACTATCATTTTATCTTTACATATGTATACATATTTTATTTTAATAATTTTCAAGAGCTTCAACATGGGGGAAGCATTTCACTTATTATCATTTCTAGCATGCTTCATTTCTGTGTAGGTCCACATCTTGGAATTTTCTTCTGCCTTTAGAACATTATTAAACATTTTTATGGTGCAGTTCTGCTGGCAATACGATCTGCCAGCTTTTGCTCAGATGAAAAAAAAAAAAAAAAACATGTTCACTTTATTTGTGAAGGATATTTTTATTGGGTATAAAATTCTAGGTTGACCTTTTTTTATTCTAGTGCTAGACATGGTGAATTTTATATTGTTGTTGAAAGTTGCATTTTGTTGTATTCAGGAAGAGTTTCGGGTTTCGTACACTTTAATTGAAATAAGTTGGATCCTTTTGGGTCTTGTCTTTAAACTGTTGAAGCAGTTCAGAAGCCTTTAGGACTAATTTGGCCCACTACTGAGGCAATACCTCTCTAAAGATTTTTTTTTTTTAAAACCTCTAAAGATTCTCCTACGGTCTAAGATCCTCCCACCTATGGCTGGAACACAAACTGTGCCCAGCCTTACCTAAGTGCTGAGTATGGTTCAGCCAACTGCTTTCCTGTAGTATGTTCTTCAGCCTCAGCTAGTTTTCTTACGTAGAATGCTGACCAATAGGAAACCAGAGATGAGATTTTTGGAGCTGACTCACTCTGCAGCGCCCTCCTCTGTGGCTACTGTGTCCTGCAGGTTTTATCTACATCAGTTTTCCTGAAGCAAACTTGGTCTGTTCCACTCAGCAAATCCACCTGGCTCTATGGAGGCTGCCCGCCCCTGTATTCTGGCAGCTGCCTTCAGGCAGGAGCTTGGGGCCCCAGAGTGCACATTTGTTTCCCTGCTCTCAGGGCGACAGTCCTATGTGATCTGTCACCCAGTGTCTGAAAACTAAGGCTTCAAAATACATTATTTGGTTTTCTATTAAGGGTCAGAGGGCCAGTTAGGTTCCTCTGATTCCATCATGGCCAGAAACACAAGTCTAAATCATAGGTCACTTCCCTGCTCTGGCTACGGTGACCTCTGTCAGTCCTTAAACAGGCCCATCCTGATGCAGGCTTGGCTGGGCCCCTGGGGTAGCTTGCAAGCACCTCACCTTTGACTCGTGGAGAGCTGGGATAATCAGCTCTCCACACCTGTCCCTGGTCACCAGAATGACCCTCTCATTGGGAAGGAAGGGTGCTCCCAGGCTGGAGGCAGAAGCTTGAGGACACAGTTGCCCTGGTGAGGGGCCAAGCCCTTCCTCCAGGTCCTGCAGGTCCCTGGAGGTTGATAGGTGCCCTTCTCCTCAAGTCCCTTTTGGGCAGGGCATAGAGGCTTGCAGGGAGGGCAGGGCATAGACACCTGAAGGGAGGGCAGGGCCACATCATCTGGTGTTGGCTGAGGCACCGCATCAGGCACTGTTCTTGTAGAACCCAGGGGTTCAGAAAAGAGTGGGGACCAGCTGGGACACCATGACCCTTGACCTGTGGCCTCTGACCTTTCTCCTGGCTATCAGCTTCCTGCTGGGAGAAGGCAGAGGCTGGGGACTGAGGCCTCAGGGGCTGAGGAAGGGAGGCTGCAGGCCGAGGGGCCATTGAGGATGGCAAGCATCCTCTTGGCAGGTGGCGAAGGACAGGTGGGTGGCTAGGGTTGTGGAGAGTGTGCCACGCTGTCATGAGGACTGTGGGTTACTCAAGCCTATGTGTCTCCAGTTCCTAAGACAAGGATGGGGGAGGGAGTGTGAGTGCATGAGCCCCTGGCCACAGAGTCGCGGATCCCTGGACACTTGCCCCTTGTTTCCTCCTAGAAGCTATTAACAGAA